TCGACAGGTAGTCCTCGACTTGTGACCACAATTGGGCCCAGAATTTTTGTTGCTGAGTGAGAAATTTGTTAAGTGAATTTTGCCTCATTTTACTGCAGTTGTTAAATTAGTACCACGGTTGTTAAATGAATCTGGCTTCCCCCATTGACTTTGCTTGTCAGAAGGCTGCAAAAGGTGATGACTCTGGAACACTGCAACTGTCATAAATATGAACCAGTTGTCCAACAATCAAAGTGAAATCATGTGATCATGAGGATGCTGCAATGGTCTTTAAGTGTAAAAAATGGTCATAAGTCACTTTTTCAGTGCTGTTGTTGACTTTGAACGGTCACTAAATGAACTGTTGTAAGTTGAGGACTACCTGTACAAGCAGATGCTAACTGAGCAGTAGCTTTGTGCATACTTTCCATTTCATAACAAAAAGAGATTATTGTAACATCAAGGAACACAATATAAAGTGTGTTATATTGCCTTTTCCCATTTCTCTATCTAGATTTCTGTTTTATTAATTTAATTATCAAAGATTTCTCCCAGATTCATCTCCTTGCCCTTTGTAAATTGTAATTCTGACAGTTGGGAATGAGCCAATCCAAATAGATGGATGGATGGATGGATGGATATAGATAGATAGATAGATAGATAGATAGATAGATAGATAGATAGATAGATAGATAGATAGATAGATAGATAGCTGTGGGTTCCACAGAGCTGGTGACAGTAGTTCTTTTTATAAAAGGAATGCTTTCCAGATGTTTTTGCAGCTTAATAGAGTAGCATGACGTTATTCTCTATAAAACATTAATATCTGATTTTTTCCCCAGTCATTTGCATGATTGCAAAATGTTACACACTTTAGAACGGCGGCCTGCAGCCTTTTGGGCACCAGGGACCGGTTCTGTAGAGGGTTTTCCATGGACCCAGAGGGAGCATGGTTTCACATGCAGCCTGCATTCTGTGGATGGGGCTTCACTTGTTTGCGCGGCCCGGTTTCTGGCATGTCGCGGCCCAATTGCTGGTCCACAAACTAGGAATTGGGGACCCCTGCTTTAGAAGTTTACTTCGAGAAGCTGGGAAGCTCCCAAGGTCTAAGTCCCGTGTTGGCCAATAGAGAGATAGCAGAGACTTGGAAAACCAATTTGTTTCCCTTTCTCATCTGTCCTTTGGAGTCACTAGAAACAGAAATATTCTTGATTTACCTTAGGATTTTTTACATTCTGGACTAATTATCTCACACAGTCCATGGAATATCACATTTCCGATAATGTAACTCATTTACAACTCCCCTGTTTTCATTTTAATACATGTATAATTATTTTCATGGTGATTTTTCTTTTGTAGCGATAGGGTTTCAGTTTTAGGACTTTAAATCACGGTAAGCCTTTTTCCTAAATATATATATATTTCAGTGCAACAACCCCAAAACTAAGGAACCTAAATTAGAAGCTGCTATCAGGATTGTTCCTGAATGGACAGATTATGACTCTGAAATACAGAAGCTAATAAATCGCCTCAGAAAGGAGAAGACAGACGGGACCCCATTTCATCCAAAAGGTGAGACAAAAGGAGAAACTTCTGTAGCTCATGAAATTGCTCAGGGAAGAGAAGAGGGTGGATTGGTTTTGTTTATCTGTCTTGAAGAAGTAACATTACATGGAGATCTCCTCTAATGTTGTCTCCATAATCCCATGCTGTTGGTTGGATTCGAAGGGTGGGCCCCAGTGGTGGGATTCACTTACCTTCCCTACCGGTTCGCAAATGTGAACATGTGCGCATTAGCTTCACTCGCACGCACCACCTTCTGTGCATGCACAGGTCGCGCATTACATCAGGGTGGGTGGGCGGGGCCTCCCACAGCCACTGCTACCAGTTCGCCCGAACTGGAGAGAACCGTCTGAATACCGCTTCTGGTAGGTACATCCCGAGTGCAGTTCGGCAATTTTAATTTATATTTTTTCACCTTCCGTAAAAACAGTTTCCTATCTGATTACATTGTAGTGGTGGGATGATAGAAAAAAAGGAGTGGTGAGAAAATGATTTTAAGAGAATACCGGTCAGTTTTAATATTGTTTTGCTTTGTAGTGATGTGCATTCAGAATTAATAATATTAAATTCTTTTACAGATTCCAAGCATGATGAACTTTAGGAATATTTCTCAATGCCAACCACAGACAGGAAACAAAGACTGCTTTTAATTAATGTAATTGAGATACATTGTGTATTTGTGCAATTTTTTTTTTTAAATGACTTGCACATGGCATGGAACTAACAGACTGTAAAAAATGCCCAGTAAATAAAACATATTTGGAAATGATGGTATCCGTGTGCCTTTATATTTACATTTCAAAATGCTTCCTGTAAGAGCTTATGAAGCAATATTTCATACTTAATACAGAACTTGAAATCATTTATAAATCTTTTTATTTTGCCTTCCTTATCACTTTCCAAAAATTCTATTTCAGTGAGCCTCCTCCTTCTCCTGCATCCTGTTACGATTTTCCCATTATGGAAAATGTATTCACATATATTCACTGTGGTCATTTTTTTTCCATTTGCAAGAAGTAAATAACAGAAAAGAGGAAAGCAAACTGAACAAACTTGTGCCATAGATTCTATATTACCTCCCATTATCTAAGTTCGAAAGGATGAGATGGGGCAGCTATGGATAATGGTGCTGACATCAGAAGCAACCCATTAGCTGTGCAGAGAGGAACTGTGATTATTTTTTGCAATTTGCAAATAGCATTTAAAAGAAATCTTAACTTATTCATAATAAATACAGGATGTGCGCCTTGAACTCAGAGGGATGTAACTTTGTCATAGACTCATAATTAAGGAGTCTGGAACCCCAAAATCAGTTCTGATCTCTCTGCTTTTAAAACATTTAGATTGTTCGGAAGCTGTGGTTGGTTGTGCAAGGCTTCTGTTAACTCAGATTACCAGGGCTTTACAAATGGGCCAGAAACTCCAAGCAGCCATTACTATGTTTGTGCAGGAAGTGAGGGAGGGCCGAATGTCAACTCGTAAAAGCATTCCAGGCCTGCTTTTGAGTTGCTATAAACGGAGGAGGCAACCTAAAGCACATTCCACAGATGCCTTTCTCCAGATTGTATCCCTGGTTACTGGAGCAAGCAGGAGGGCTGTGGTTTCTACAGCCCGCGAACGTACTCCATTGAAGAATGTGATTTTTGACACACGCAGGGAGGAGGGGGAAAATAGGGTCATAGGGAGCCGTAAATTACGTGAGGGTACAGCTGACTCCACTTGGGTATTGCTGAGATGTTGCTCCTAATAAATGACTGGATTTCTTTTGAAACTTGGCTCAAGGCTCATGAATTAGAGCATCCTTTGGAATCCTGACAGAGGCATTCTGCAATCTGCAAAGATTTCACGTTGATTAGGGTAACGTATTCTATCTCAAGCATATTTATAAATATGATTAAAAATCACGGATTCTTCTGGAATGCTCATTGATTTGCTCCATTATGAAAAATGTCAATTAATGAGGAAGCCTGTCTTAGTGCCTTGTGTTTTCTCTGATCTTAAAGGATCTTCCTCAATATGAGATTTAATTATTTCAGCCTTACCGGGCTCACTGATGATCTCGAGGATAAAGAGGCTTGCAAACCTTTTCAGGCCCCAGAACACGTTAATTAAATAAATGCTAGAACTCCTAAGCAAGAGGCTGTAATGACTGAGAACACTGTGTTTGGATTAGCTCTCATTTGCCTTTAATCTCTCCCTGAGCTTTGTAGAACACATATGAAAAACCCTGCTCTTGAGCTTCCAAGAGCTCAAGCTTAAACCTAAGCTTGCTGTCTAATTCTTAGTATAAAGTAGGGCGACACAAAACTTTGGGAACCATTCAGAAAAGAAGCTTTGGTGTGTGCACACCTAAACTGTGCATCTGTTTCTTTTAAAGCAGCCATTTATTTTCCCAGTTAGACAAAACATCCACTTGGAATCAAGTATTGCAACCCCCCACTGCAAAACATAGCAAAACAGATAAAACAGGTTTCTGTTAGCCTGCCACAAAATTATATAAAAAGAAGAAAGTTTATTACTTTGACCACTCTTCTGTAGCTTCCTGTAGAGGGAGAGTAGTTCCCATGTATTATTAAAGTAGCACGTAAAGTGAGATTTGGACATGAAGTGTGAAACCTACAGGGTCAGGCTGGACAGCCTTTCGAGGCCCCTTTACTTCTGTATGAAAAGGCCACATAGGCAGAGTTGCAGCTTGCAAAAGAACAGGAAGCGAGTGCCTAACCGCAGAGTTCGATAGTTCTCAGAAGACCACAAGGGTCAGCTAAAGGTCGCTTAGAGACAGGTACTCAGTACCTATGACCCAAGAAAAAAGGAGAAGTAAGACCCTATCTACTTTATAAGACTCTTTCCTCAAGGTAACCAATAAGAAGTGACTGTGTACGTTGCTCTTTGGAAGATATATAAGAAACTGTCTTTTCTATAGTTTTTTGTCCAGATGTTAGAAATTGTTCTCTCTGTCTGGACCTTTTGGCCAAAATAAAGCTTATCTTGATCTCGCAGTCCTATCTCTTGATTTTCTGCAACATTATCATGTCATATATTAACGGGAAAAGGACTTAGATGTTATAGTACACCTCCAAGTAAATATGTAGCATTACTTTGGTCTCAATTCTGTTCAATATAAAGAGGACTGAGTTCCAAGCATTGTCCCAATAAGAGAGGCAATCGTTATTTTGATAAGTATATGTAAGTGGCTTTGATAAAACAGAATTTTAAATTTCAGATTTCAGACATAACACATGTACACCAATGCCACCAATTTAATATAAAACTACACCACCACAAAATAGCTTCCAGATTTCAAATTAGTAAAGTTTAAAAAGAAATATTAATCTTTGTGTTCTTAAAATATATTGCTTAAGTAAAGCTATTTTGCAAAGGCAAAGTTCCCATATTTTTCCACATTTGAGGCATTTAATTCCATGGATACTTTACGGTAGCAATTGATAACTGAACTGCCTTTTAAATTGATTCTTTAATTTCCAAAGGAATGAAGTAGTTTTTTTGTTAGATTTCCCCCAAGTCTACTCAAAATCACTAGGTACAACAGCATAATAAAGCAATTTCTATTCATTACTTGGCGTACAAACAAATTAAGACTTGGCACAATTGTTAACTTCAGAATTCAACCTGCCTTATCCCTCCCACCCCCAACACAGCCAAATCCACCCCCCCAAAATATTCAGGATTTAAAGCAAATAAAACAACGGTGTGCTGTTGAATACTATTTAGTATTTCGTTACCTTCAAAAGAATATATCCCCCCACCCCCACTTCCTTCAACCTCTCTGATTTATTCTGGCAACACTCCCAAGGCAATGTTTGATTTCAATTGACTCAGAAGCACTACTGAACATTTGGATCAATCCATGTGCAGCCCTGATGGCCTCTAGAACAAGGAGCTCCGGCAACATCAAGGCAGCCCAAACCACGTCCTGTATAAACATGGACTTGATAGGATTTGGTCCAAGAAAGCAAAGGGCTCTCTTTCCCCCAACCCCCATTCTAACAATGGCACTTTATGCAGTCCTGTCCAAAACATAAGGGTGATTTGTTAATAGGTAACATCTCTCTCTCTCTCCCGGCATTTCTGGAGTCATTTTTGAGGAGAGAAACATGAAAGCACTTTGTGGGTCCTGGTTTTGTGTCTGAATGTTCACTCAACAAGTATCCATCGTGGCATCTTTTGAGATGAATCCAAATCATTTCAAAAGCATTCCTAAAGAACAGAACGTTACACCCAAAAGCTAGTGAGATACAACCACTAATTTTTCAGCTGTTTGGAGAACTTGCATTGAAATACACTGGGGTGTATATGTGTTATTAATGACAACAAGTGAGGTGAAAGATGAATATCATTTTGACAAGTGTTCAAAACTGCGTTCTTGAAAAAGACCGGATGTGAAAGAAAAGGCAAGTTCAACATTACATCTCAAGATGACTCCAGGCTCCGTTAGGAATGCAGTTCACAATATCGGATTTCGGCTGCATGAAAACACTTTCAATCGGTTCCATGAGTTATTAGTCTGTGCAACTCCAGACATGCATATAATAGTTGTGAAGAGGATGATCATCTACCACCCTTAAAAATATATATATCTTCAAGAGCAGAACAAAGTTCTACTTATTATGGCCACTATCTCAGTCGTGCTCAAATGTCAAGCAAATTTTCAAGGGAAAATGGTTCTCTGCCACCTGGCTAAAATTTTTTAATTCTGTTTAATTCTTTAAAAGCAACCAGAAGGAGAGGTTTTAATCAGAGAAAATTGTCTTTGTAACATTAGTCAGAACAACTTAAGCTGGTTGCAGTGACCAATGTCCGTGTGATGTCCGCGGTCATATTCTGCAGATGTGTAATACTTCCAACAGTCACTTGAGACTTCCGCATTTGCTCTTGTGGTAACAGTTGGAGTTACCACAACTGGAGGTACAGTTATCTCAAGTGATTAATACCCACAAAAGGGCCCCAATGGTTTAGCAAACGTTAAAAATGCTTTTTTAGTTTCTTCTCAAATATGGGTTTGTCTTGTCGTGGAGCTGGGAGGCCCGGAACTATCAAACAGATCGGTATTATTGATATGGCTGGATTTTGTTATCCCTTTTTGAACTATCACCTCCCCCCCCCAAAAAAAAAAAAATAACCCTGGCTTTCATTACTGTTCAAAGACTAGATGGTAATTTTAAGTTATCTAGAAAAAAAATTGCAGATTGCCAGATGCAAAAGGAAAAATAAAATAAAAAGAGTATAGCAGTTCTAATTGAAATTGAATTTAAACTGGAAAGGTCCCCCAGAACTGAAGGGGTCAAACCCTTGCCAGGAATTCCAGGATCGGTGAAAAGGGTGACCTCCCCCTTGCTGGCTCTCAGCATCCAGTGGGTCTTCTCCTGCATCAAACTTCCTCCGCATTTCTATAAAAGATACAAAGATGGCGATCAGCTGAATCAGACATAACGACAAAGGAACTCCATCAGCTTTTAGCCAAAGCTTTTGATTCCAAAGCCACTAGAGTATTAACCACAAAAAATGAACTAATAGATAAAAAGCAGTGGTGTAAGCATAGGCAGAGCTGCACTTCTAAAAAAAAAAAAAAAGGCAAACTATTTTGGAACTTGCTTGCCCTTCACAGACAATTTTCTCCAAAGGGCAATATATTTATTCAGAATAAATATTCATTCATTCATTCATTCATTCATTCAT